CATCAATTTTAAACATTCCACAGATCCCCCCCATGAGGGGTTCCAGTGTGTCCGGTCAAAGGTCATTCACAATGAAACCTTTTCACTTCAACCGGTATCCCAAATGTTTGTTTGTAAATGCATACCACTTTGTTTCATGCTTACAGGGAAGGTCCACAGCCGCAGTTATTTTTTTTTTTGCACACTCTTTTAAACCTTTTTTATTCTGAAGTTTTGATTGTGAATGACTTTAACCATCTAGCACGTCTTTGCACATTTTTAAAAAAAAAAAAGAATAAGGTGAAAAAATGGATAGAAAAAAACTGCTAGTGCAGCAAGGATCAATGGAGATCAAGAGGTGGTTATAGTATGATAGGGTTAAAAAAGCTATATGGATATTAAAATTTCATCGAAGGTGGCGTAATGTATAGAAATAGATATTAGAATTAAGATTAAATGAAAGATTTTGGTAGTTAGGAATGAACAGGGAGGGGGAATGCATATTGTAAATTCTAATATAAAAATATTAATACTAACTAAAAATTGATTAGGAATCTTGGATGCCAAAAAATTCATTCCAGTGACCAAGACAACATTTTTTGTCATGCAAATGAAAAAAATGAGGAAAACAGCAAAGCATCTAATGGTAGTGCCAGAACTGAAACTAGGATTAATAATACAAAAGTCACCAAAGAGACAATGGCATGGACCTCCCTGTGGAAAGTATGATAAGTAATAAGTATGAACAAACGGAACACAACCCACCCCCTACCCTGGTGAAATGGTTTCATTATCACCATCCCCATCCATCCCTGACACCATGTCGTTTGGCAGCATCCACAGTGCAGAAATGAATGGGAACGAGGATGAGAAATCTCCTTGTGACTTTGCGGTAGTGATTAGTGTAGGTGGAGACGGTATATTAAAGTAAAGAGTGTGGAGTCAAAAGAGTAGAGAGACGGCTACAGCGGTCAAGGGCACCGCCTTTTGACAAACCTTGATGTTCATCTTGCGTCCTAATTTCATGCTTAGGCCTCCTGCTTTCTTGGCTGGTGCAGGTGCTTGAGCTTCTTTCTTCTTTTTCTGCATAAATAAATAAAGATATTATGACACACACTGCGGCCCCATGTCCCCCTAACATCTATGATGAAGAACTATAGAGAAGGAGAGAGAGAACTAACATGAATATGTCCAGTGTGAAGATCAAAACTTAAAATTGCTGAATCCGTTTTTTTTGGATATATTTGATTTTTTTTTTTTTAACTTTTTCGTTTTTTAAAGTTATAGTTAAAAATTTGCAGTTAGGAAAAATAAGAGCTTAGGATATTAATTTGAAAATCAACAAACTGAGAAATGACAGAATATAAAATAAGCCAAGCATAGTGCAAGTGGTGTGTGTATGTGTGCGGTGACTGACAAAATGTGAGATGTTTTGGCAAGCAATTAACACTGCCAGTAAATATATCTAAAAGAAAAGAAAAAGGAAGTCATAGCAAAAAAATTAGAGATTAAGAATGTGAAAAACACCTGAAATAAAGAAAATAAACCTGACAAAAGAAAAATCTTGTTACCGTAGCAGGCACAAGCAAATGCGTTAATATGCATAAATAATATATGTAAAATAATGTAATGCACAAATGCATGGAGATCATTATGCAAATTAGTTGCAACCTTAAACATGCTCAAAAGATACCATAAGATGAAATTGCCCCAAATAATGCATGACACAGACGAACAATTTATTTATTCATTAAAATATATCATTCCACCTTCTTACTTTATAAATATTCTAAAGAATAATAAGGGAAATTTTAGAAGATTTTGTAAAACTTTTAACCTTCATTTTGTCCATCGCAAGGGTTATTTAAACATCCTGATATAAAAACTTTCCTTGCAAAACAAATTGTTGTGACAAAGGGGACACAACTGTGATGCATTTGACATATTTACATGCATAAAGAGCATGCTGTGGGGTTGATCAAAGAATGTTAGCAACAAGTAAGATCTGCAATACTAGAAGATGCATAAATAAGAACCTGATATTTTCACAATCTAGTAAGATAAGCAAGACAGGTGAGAAGACCTAGAGTGAATACAGTCACTTAGATTTAGTGTACACTTGACCTATTCATGCTTCATTTCATCATTACAACGAAAACAATGATACTAGAAATACTAGGAACTTTTGCATTACCTCTTCTTCTTCTTCTCGCCTTTGTTGTTCTTCTGCTTGTTTTTGTTGCTACAGGGAAGAGATTCAAACTTTACTTTCTTCACAAATGTATAAAATTACCTTTAAGTTACAATTTGGGCATTAAGAAAACTACCGGTAGGTTATCCCAGCACAGTGAATCATGATGATGCAAATTGTTAGAGGAGACTGACAGATATAGACAACGAATCTGTCAACAATCCTCCTAAGTCATGTACAGTATTGAATGTCATTTTGCCTCTACATCATGATTATGTAATAACAAATCTTAACCTATGAAGTACAATTACTTATTTTCTGCAGCTAAAAATTTCATGGCATTTGTAAAGAATGTTCTTTTGCAAAATTTAAGCAGTTTACAATATTGACTCCTAATACATTACAATCAAAGTCGTTTATTTGGCTACAAACAGTTTGGAGTATGAGGTCATGTTGATTAAAAACAAGTGATAACATTTATCAATACAACTTAACCACTGATACCATGTTCACATGTGCCACAGCTTGACTAACTTTGTAACGATCGTTATCAGTGGTTTTAATTAGTCCTGTGTTCATATGTATAGAAAGAATAAACTGAGCCAGCTTTGTTATCGACCACCATGTTTCTATAAATACTTGCAAAGAATGGAACTCCAGAGTGAAACTGACATTGAGGACATGCTTTTTAAGGCGGCTTTATTGTTTATCGCGCTAAAGCCGTTTCTATAAGAACGAGGTTCTGGTTGAGACTTTTAGGGTGGCTTAAACTAAATCGCAGTAGAGCCCGCTTATTGTGTTCAAATGTGTTTCAAAGCCAGCTTTTTTGGCACACATGTGAACACTGTATGAGTTTTGTCAACTCAAATTGTTGTTGTAATCAGTAGCAAATACTGCTTTAACATAGTGACGAGACCGCATGTAGGTAAGTAGGTAAGCATGAGACCGCACGTACATTGTAGGTAAGTACAAGATTGCACGTAGGTAGTAGAAGATCACATCTGGACAACATTGTTTTAATAAAAAACAAGCAGCCTATCGGCTGAGATAGCTCCGCTGTTAGAAATGCACATTTCAATTAAAGAACTGAAGACATCATCAGAAAATGAACAATATGTATAGTATCAAAGCAATCGGACTTACAGTTTTTAACAAGAAGTCGAAAATATCACTTTCTACCAAAAATGACTAAAATATTCACCAAAATTATAGAATCCAAGATATCATCACGAAATGAACAAATCTGAGAAAGGTCTACATGTAGTATCTAAATATGTAATATCAAAGCAATTGAACTATTGGTTTTTAACAAGAAGTCGAAAATATCACTTTTTACCAAAAATTACAAAAATATTCACGAAAATTAGAGAATTGAAGACATCATCACAAAATGAACAAATCTGAGAGAGGTCCACATGTAGTACCTATATATGTAATATCAAAGCAATCGGACTTGTGGTTTTTAACAAGAAGTCGAAAATATCACTTTTTACCAAAAATTACAAAAATATTCACCAAAATTAGAGAATTAAAGATATCATTACAAAATGAACAATTCTGAGAGAGGTCCACATGTAGTACCTATATATGTAATATCAAA